TACACATACAATATCCCTACATGAGTCTGTGAGTATAGCTGAAGACCACATACATAACAAGAAACAGTGCCAGACAGGAGAAACCTTCCTTTAAGAAGTTGGCCAGGGTAGTCCAAGAGACTCCCAAAATTACACAGGCTATTGCCACAGCCCTCGGTTGCCTCTCAGAACTTGATGGTAAGACCCTATTGCTGAAGACAGGACATACTTTGAACACAGGATTTGGAGCAATGGAGCTGGAACTGACCTGGAAGCCACCTCCCCTGAAGGTTGTTAGCTCTCATAGCTTTGGAGAGCACCACATAGCTGATAAGGGAGAACATCAATTGATGGTCCAACCTTAGCTTTAAGGCCTAAAAACCACATCAATGTCCAGCACAGCAAATGACACTGGTGCAGTAGTGGCACTTTTATCTTGGGGGTAATCAACAGCTACCTAATTGGACTTAAAGCCCAGTCAATGGAGGAAACTCATGTCTGGTACTCTAAACCTAGCCAAATACATATAGCTGAAGAGATCATAGAACTTAGAGAAAACCCCAACGGAGATTATTACAGAGTTACATCACTGGTCACATACAGAGATTCTCTGTGAACTGCCCAAGCTTAAATGGCACATCTAGGATACAACCTCTACACCTAAGGCTCATGGAATATGGAACAAGGGATGAAGAGAACACTAATGCATCTTTCAACTCTCATCAATGAAGCTCCCTCATGCAACAGAGGGCCAGGAACACAAAAGGAAGGCCACAAATGGCCAAAACACAGAGAAGAGTAGGCAGAGTGTGGGTCCTTGGACAGGACTCCTATATTGAGGTCCACCCACCCAGGGCTCAGGGGCCACTATGGAAGAAGGGGAGGAAAGATTGTAAGAGTCAGGGAGGAGGTGCATGACCATACGGAAATCATACATGTGCCTGAGACCCTTCTTATACAAACCTACAGCAATGGTGTCAGTATGCGCAAGACCCATGCAAACATAAGCAGACAAAAACCCAGCACAGAACTGTGGAAAAGAACAGCAAAGCCTGTAACTTCAGCACTTGGGAGACTGGGGCAAGTAGTCTGTTTGTGCCCAGCAGTTTGAGACCAGAGAGGGCAACAGAGATACCAGTTCATCCTTATGTGTTTATTGCTGCTGGTGGTGGTGGTGGTGGTGATGTTTGGTTTTGATTCAGGGTTTCACTATGTAGCAGTGCCTGGCCTGGAACTTGCTATATAGACCAGACTGGCCTTGAACTCACAAAGATGCACATGCCTTTGCCTTCTGAGTGCTGGGATTAAAGGCATATGCTACCATGCCCAGCCTGTTTTATGTTTTTAATAGAAGGTTTCAGAGCATAAAGAAGCAAAACATCACCTTTTCAATGGAGTTTTCCTTCCAATTAGAGATATAACAGCATTCTGTTCATGTTTACATGTAACACAGAAGTTGCAGCCAACCATAAATATGAGAAATGTGCAAATAAACTTAGCATACGGTGTGAGCTAAGGGGGTGTTAGGAGGATCTGTTGTAGCAGTTCTCTTACTAACATGAAGTGTAAACAGAAGAATTCTTTAAATGCAGAATGCGATTCCTATCTTCATGGTGCTGCTGCTTTGAGTCTGAGGAAAATCCGAATTTATTAAGCAATGCTGATTTATGCAACCCCATACTTGACTACTCATCTGAGAAGAAGAGTGTCTATGCAGAGAATGAAAATACCTTTGCATCCCTGGAGGTGGCTGGAAAAGCAGGTCTGCAGGGACTTGCATTCTGGTCACTGCTCCTGGTCTCCCTCAGCTATACACAGGAAGCTGCTGAACAGTGTCTGGGAGTTTCTGTCTTCTGAAATATCGAGGAGTAAAGTAATTAGAAGGAATTTAAAATCAGAGGATAGTTTTACTTCTTGGTTTTAATATTGGAAACCAAGTATAAGAACTGATACTTTAACACTATTGATTTAATCCTGATATTCAAACTGTTTCATTATTGGGAAAAATTAAGAAAAATACCTAAATGTGGTTAAGAGCTAAGGCTGTATCTCAGGAATAGGATGTTCACAAGACTCTGAGTTAAGATGGTTATTTAAAAAATTTGGGGGGGATTTATTTATTTTTATTATGTGTAGTATGTTTTGCCTGCAGGCATGTAAGTGAACCCCTGTATGCAATGCTTGAAGAGGTCAGAAGATGACATCAGATCCCTTGGAACTGGAGTTATAGACTGGGTCCTCTGCAAGAGCAACCTATGCTTTTAACTGCTGAGCCATCTCTCTAGCTCCAAGACCGCCATTTTTTACAAACACAGTTTTGTTGTTTTGTTTTTGTTTTTGGCTTCTGTGATAGCTTGAAGGCTGTCCTGTTTTGGATGCTAATCACAGAATCAGTTGTCACCTATGATTCTGACCCACAGGCTATGCACTGAGGCCCTCACTAACCCTCTTCAGGTTTGATTAACTTGTAAGGTCAACTTACAGAATGTAGGGAAACTTAAAGTTATCATTTTAAAATATCAGAAATATAGCCAGATGCTGAATCAGTTGCACCACTCTGCAGCTGTGTCTATGGAACCCGAAGTTCTCCAAAACCAACGTCAAGGATTTTTTTGGCAGTTTCATCATATTGGATGATTGATAATTAACTCAATCTCCAGCCCCTCTTCTCACCCCCACCAGGATGGAGGATGGGTTAAAAGGTCAAAGCTTCTGATCATGGATTTGTTTTTCTGGTGAAAAGTCACCAATCAGGAGCCCACCAAAAGTTACCTCATTGGAACAAAGGATGCTCCTATTGCCTGGCAAATCCTGAGGGATTTGGGAGCTCTATGTCAGGAACTGGGGCCCAAGACCAAATACTAAAACAAAATATTTTTCTAGAGTCTCTATCTACAAAGGCCTTAGGAGTTCTGTCTTCAGAACTGGAGTTGTATATGTGTGTGTGTAGTTCCTCAAATATCATACAAAAGGGGCCAGGCATGAGGAATTATTTTTTAATTGGGTATAGAGTTTCAGTTTGGGATGGTGAAATTCTTCTGGAAACGGATAGTGGTGATGGTTATTCAATGTTATGAATGCTTTTAATGCCACTGCAGTGTTAAAATATAGTTAAAACGGGGGCTGGAGAGATGGCTCACTAGTTAAGAGCACTGGATGCTCTTGCAGAGGTCTTGGGTTTGGTTCCCAGTACCCACATGATTCTGTAATTCCAGTTCCAGGGGATCTAACTCCCTCTTCTGGCCTCTGTGGGCACTGCATGATACTGGTGCACTTACACGCATGTAGGCAATACATTCATACACATAAAATAAAAATAATAAAGTATTAAAAAAAGCAAGCAAGCATTGTAGATTATGTTGAAGCCTCAGTTCAATTTCCCTTTCCTCTGCATAGGCCACATCTCTCATGAATTTGGTATATACTCTGATAGTCTATGTCTACACTTAGACAAAGTGTGAGATTAGTACAGATTCTGAAGGGCTCTGTTTCTTTATGAATGTGGTATCATAGCATATATTTCTACAATTTATTTTCCATATGACAAAAGTCTTCTTTTTTATAAGTATTTTATTGCTATTATCCCCCCAAAAGTTTCTTTCTTATTTATTAATTTTATTTTTGGTTTATGTGTGTATTGCCTGCATGTGTGTACATGCACCTGTGTCATACAGTGTCTGCAGAGGTCAGAAGAGGGCGTTGGATTCCCCTGGAACTGAAGTTATGGATGGTTGTTAACTGCCATATGGGTCCTGGGAATCGAACCTGCGTCCTCTGCAAAAGAAGGCAATGCTCCTAACCCTTGAGCCATCTCTCCAATCCCCATGTTTCTATTTTTGAAGTCAGAGTAAGAGGAAGGAACTTTAAACACACACAGTGGAAGGCTACCAGTGTGGTTTGGAGCTGGGAGGAGAAAATACCCAGGTGAGTGGTAAGGGGAGCTCAGTTGGAGTATCAGTTGGAGATTTATCCTGCTCCCACCACTGTACACGAAGTCTGTAGCATAGAGGATGAGACTGACAAATGAAATTGAATGCTAAGCTTCCCACAGGTTTAATTATTGAAGTTCAAAGAACAGAGAACCTTAAAGAGAACTCTGAGGAGACTCTGGAAGAGCTGAAGCCTTAAGGGAATTAAGAGAGAAGAGGAGGTCCAGGGACTGAAGGCTGGTGAGGCAGTTAAAACAGTCTTGACAGGAGTCTTAGCATGTATGAGGCCCTGGGTTCCTTCCCCAGAACTAAAAAGAAAAAAAAAAGCTGGAACAAAATGATCTTTATTTCTTCTGAGACTGAAACTTTAAAATGCCACAAGTTTGTTAATTACAGAGGAAATCGGGTTGACTTTTAAAACCATTAGTCCTCACCATCACTTACCACAGACCGTAGGTGGTAGGAAGTGTGATACTGGAGGGAGAGCCAAAATTTTGCAGATGAAGGACTTGGCTTCCACTCTATCATTTCTTCTCTGTGTCTGTCCCTGGACCAAATCTCCAAAGGCAAGATAATGGAGTGGCTGAAGTGTAAACACCAGTCTCACTGGTTGGTTTAAGCATTACTATTCTGTCCTATAAAACCATAAGACACTTTTCATAACGCATATCCGGGGGAGGAAGTTGGTTAACTTACATCTGATTAAACTTGGATGGGTAGGCGCCCTGGTTTATTATTGGATCCACGACCTCAACAGCAGGCTGTACTTTTCGTGGCTGGCACCTACTTGGGAATTTGTGGCTGGTTTCCTCGGGCCGGTCCACTTACTTTTTTTTCCACTAAGATGGTATGAGATGCTCAAGGAAACACTGACTAGAACGGTTTACCGACTTTTGCTGCGAGCCAGAGTGATGACCGAGCAGTAGCTCGAAGGACAGGCAGCGGGCAGGTGGCGGCCTGGCCAGGGCAGGAAGCGCGGCTGGGCCGGCGGGGCGGAGCGCAGGGCCGCCGGGGAGCAGGGCCGCAGGCGCCCCGCCCGGGCTGGTATGCGGCCGAGAGTGACGCGGGAGGAGGGGTCACGTGACGCCCGTGGAATGCCAACAATGTAGCGAATGTCCCGCTCGGGTCTGCGCTTTGGAACCGTGGCGTGAGCGTCCCGGGAAGATGGAGCAGCCGCCGCCCGCCCCGCCTCTGCCGTTCGGGGCTACCCCGTCCCTGCGGGGCCAACAGCCACTGCCGCCACCGGCGCCCGGTCTCCCGGCGCGTGAGACCCCGGAGCCGCGAGCCAGGACGCCTCGGAGAGTGTAGACCGCGCCCAGGAGGTGAGGGGCCGGGGGCGGGGGCCGCGGGCGGGCGTGCGGGCGGACGACGAGCCCCG